CGAGGCACCTGATCTGTTGACAATGGATGCAAATATCTCAGACACAGTCCATTCTGTCACTCGAGCTCCTCACCTAGATTGTTACCCTCTAAAAAATGTTTAACATTTGCTACTAGTTCTCGAACTTAATCAGGTCCAGGCATGGTACTAAAAAGGCATGTACATGAAATAATGAAACTGTTTAGCTATTATGACTAATTTTGACTTTTACTCGCTCGCTTCTTCATGCACACATATTGTATTCATTATTTCTAATTAAATTTTAAATTTCCATTCATTCCGACTAAATCTATTTTCGTTTAATAAATCGTCATTATTCTCAGCAGTTAGATGGCAGCGTGCCGTATGCCACGTCACTGATAGGATACGTAACGGGACGTGAAGAAACGATACAACATACTTAAAGCACTCGGCAAAAATCCAACCAATTTCGCCAGCTTCCTCCGGACATCCATGCCTTGTAATGCAAATCCGGATGCAGTTCAGGTAAACCTGATGTTGGTCGCCGGCTGAGCCGTCCACTTGCTTTGCAAGAAATACTAAGGCAATGAAGCCGGCTGCTGCTCTTCCCATATGTTCTCGACATATGCCCTTCTATCTGTCCGTTCCCCAGCTGCGCTACTATATAAACAGGTCTGCAAGGGCTTTATTCTGTTGGTCGCTAATGCAGAACATTTCTACAGTGGTGCACTGTGCTTCATACAATGCGCGAAAAAGCCTATGCATATCCAGCTTGCTCCCCTGCAATGCCAGCAGGGCACTCCCAAAAACCAGTGGTAATACGGGTCCTGAGTTGCGAACAAGGAAAGCTAAACTCGGAAGCATGAACAACGCAGAACTTTCTGGCACTGTCAGCTGGGTTAAAAGTAATCTCCGGGTCAGCGATGTATGCCATCATCGGCTATACCGCCTTATCAGTGACGCGGCCGACTTCTGCGAGCCATTCGCACCCAATTTTTTGGCCGCTGGCCGATGTCCTAAGTTTGCTTCGGAAGCAATTCCGAAGACAGCCACTCTCACAGCTACATTTCCTGGCACCCGAAAGCACCCCCTCCCCTCTCCTACATCTTATTCCCAAATCGGTTTTCCGGCTGTAGCTGTGAGTAACAAACTACTCTGGTCAAACTGGCATGAGGTTAACAAACATCCAAAATCTTCTACGGAAATCCAAAATAGAAAACAACGCACTCTCAGTAAGCGGCATACCTGGGCGGATACTTATCATTTCAGGTGACACAAACAATCTCTCCTCACAATTCATTCAGTCATTTTGGTGGTACGGAGGATACATGCCAACAAGACAAAACTTGCTTCTACGAAGGAGCAACCGTTCGCTTTGCAAAGCCGCTGGTTGCTGCCACCTGCGGTACCTCCGAGTACACCTGCCACTGAATACGGAGGGGCTTCGATTCCTCACTAATGCATATGCATAGCACCGGCAGCAATCGGTGCTCGGGAATGCGTACTTACCACCCAGGTAGAGTGAGATGCACAAACACCGATCCATGATATACACGGATCGAGGATTTTAACTGCTTAGAAAGCACCACTTGAGATATGAGCACACGTGCCAATGTCAAAGCACTGACGATGCAATTAAGCAAAAGTAACGAACAGCGAACTGCTCCTTGACGGAATGCATTTTAAGATTGAAAAAAATTTTATTTCAGTGTCAACAAAATTTTTTTTTTTATTTCAAAAGACATTAAAAAACAAATTAAAACTGTACACTGCTACAAGGACAAGGCTCGCTATCTCGTCACCAGCAGTGCTAAAAGTCTGTCCTCCTGAGATCCCAAAAAAAGCCGTTTTTTCCAGGTATCATTATTTACTTACTCGAATTCACCACACGTTAGGACACAAAGCCCCATTTTTCCAACTAAGTGAAATACTAAGACGCTGGCCCATCCTGAAACTATCTAGAAGTTCCGCATTCAGCTTTTCAAAAGAAACTGGTTTTAGTTTATTCTGAAATCCCGGAAAACTTGCCCAGACCGACCAGTTTCACATTCCGTCCACAAAGATATCTTTCCCTTTTGAATACACCTGTGCAGCAACTTTTCCAAATTACATTCAGCCACAGCAAATTAACGATTTTCTATTCTCAAGTAAAAATCCCAAACTAATGCAGCGGATGTGACCAGAAATGATTATTCTGATTTCAGCATGATAACAGAACAGAAATCCAGAAAGCATTAAGCAAATCCGCGCAAAATTCTATCGCAAAAAGAAAAAACACGTTTGGAAAACCTTGTAAGCTTGATCAATACCGAAATCCATCAACACAATGACCAATACATCATTCGTGAAAATCGCTCACTCTCAGTTTCCCACAGCAAGAATCGTCGCGCGTACAATGCCTCTAGAGTTGGAACAGTTACGGTTAAAAACATGTACTACTGCTCTCCGAAAGAAAACATTCATCACAAAAGCTATTATCACAGTCCCCAGGGACAGAAGAATTGCCCTGATTGCGAGTACCATTGGCCACAGGGAGGAGAGAGTTGCCCTAACAGCAACTAGCATACAAATTAAACAAGTACAATCACAAAAACATTAAGAACAAAGAAATAAGTAAATGGACGAAGGCAACCATTTTATTTTTTCATGAATTTACAGGAGCAGGAGAGAAATGAGCATTAACTGCTTCATGCCCTAAACAGCGAAACGCACGCATATATTCTATCAAAATCCTTATTACATGACACATCGGTGGAGTTTCTCGTCCAGCTTGCAAAAAATAACCAAAGTCTCCTCCGCCTGTCCCCTTCGCAACACGAGGAGGTTCTCAGTAGTGACTTGGTTGGTGGCAAGTGCGAACAGCAACTACCTGCCAGCAACGCGTCCGAAACGGACCTTCTCTTCTGAGCGTTACTTACGAGAAAGCTGACAGTGGGCTTGTATTAATCCCCTATCGAAAAGAATGAATGAATTCGCAGAGCGATACTGTCTGCGCCACTTGCGGAACCAAATTCCTGATTTCCGGCATGAGAGAGCAGAGCTTCTTGCCACTGCGCTATGCCTGCTAGCAACGAAAGAATTGAAGGCATTTTTAAAACATAATTTTCAGATAAAATGTAGCCTCACATGAGTGTGTGTGTGTATATATATATTTATAATACCGAAATCAAAGTCTCACATAAATATGGCAAAGCTCAGGACGTGCTGCCTTACGTATGCATTCGCCAGAGCAACATTTCGAGTACAGGCCCACCGCCACAGGAGGTCTGGCCTTCAAAGGACCACAAATGGAACGTGATTACGTGAGGAAAGATGAAAAATAAGCAAAAAAGCTACAACTTTTTTGCTTTCATTAAAATCAATATGTGATCAAAAATCAGGGCAACTCTCTTCGGACTGATAACAGT